ATGCTTTTTCTCGGTAAGCCAACAAGATAAAAGCACTCGCAAGCTTTAAGGAACTAACGCCGAAGAGAACACATACGCTCTTCTTTAAAGCCTGCAGACAAGCTACCAGCTGCTTTAAAAGGCTCCTAATATATATATGCGCATACATCATGTTTAACTTATCATCGGTGGATTTAAACGAAATAATACATGTACCCCGGTCCATGCTGCGATGCGGTGGCGGCTTCTGCTATTTCATGAGCGGGTTCCTGACGTTTCCATATCCCTCATGACCGTTTGTTATTCTGTCATTATAAGCTCGCAGAGGATATGTATTTGAACATGTTTCCTTCGCGGATCGTGTTTGATTCTCTACAGGTTTCGCAATTTCGTGGTGCCCCAGTGGAGTCAACCGACCGATCTTGTCTGAAATCGTCGAGCCGGATGCTCGAGCGACAGTATTCGCCACTCAAATTGCAATAGAGGGCAGCGTGTCGGCTTTATTGGGCTCTCCAGTAATTGCTCTATTAGGTAAACATTACAAAAGAACAGCTGCACGTGAATGCATATATAGTTCTAATGCGCTTGGTTTATGGAACCAAACGCAGAAAAACGACGCGAAAGAGACAACTGGAAGACTGCACAAAGCGCCCCACTTGAAAGATGATGATGAATGCAGACCTCCCCTACCTTGTTCTTGATTTTGTTTGGCTGCAGCGGAGTCAATTTTTGGTTATAAAACTGGAGTTCCTTTCCACGCAGCAGCAGACACCCAGAGAAACACAGACGTGAGGAAATGTTGAATGCACCAAACCCTCCAACCTAGGAAACATTTGCATGAACGGTGCACGCTTGTGGCTTTAAACTGCCCGTAGGCTTTATCTTCAGTCCATATCAGGCACTAAATGTTACAGATGATGTATACATACATACATATATATATATATATATATATATATATATATATATATATATATATATATACACATATATACGACAGAAAGAAATATAAGGAAATACTCCCTTCTGTTCTTGTTTACAGGCATTGGCGAATGCGTTGCTGGTTGCCACTGCCTTCCCGTGGACCGTCTGCTTCTTTTTGGTGAGCTTTTTCCTGCATTTCATCTTCTTTCTCTAGCATCTGAACAGAAACACCTCCGAAAAGCTCAGCTCGACCGCTTCTTCATCGTCCTCCTTTCCCTCCCCTTTAGTGATGTTTGCAGTTTCCGTCTTCGTTCGAGAAAAAGAAGCCGCTGACTGTTCAGTGGTTTCTGTGTTGTTTTTGCTTGAAATGCTTTGCCCACTACAATTGTTGCTTTTTTCTCCGCTTCGCTCTGCTTTTTCTGCAGTACGGCCTGATGCATTTTACCTACCCCAAGGACTCCATTGCCTACGAGCAGTTTCGTTCGGCGCGCAGCGATGGGAAAGACAACGAAAAACAGGGAAAATCGCCGCCAAGTGCAGCTGACAGGGCCAGTCCGCATGCAGCAAACTAAGTTTAAATTCATTTGAAATGTACGTTCAGCCCCTGTATAGGTATCAGGCGGCACGAGAACGTATGTAAGCTCCTGCTGCTTGCTCGCTACGTTAAGCAACAGCAGCAGCAGCGGCAGTTCGTGCTGCTGTTGCTGCTTTCTAAATGCTGCGGTCTGCAGATACGCCAGCTAGCGGCGTTTGTATAGACAAGGCTGCAGGAGGTGAGAGGAAAGTTGTTTGTTTTTTGCCTTTGACTGTTTATCCACTTGAAATACTAATAGCACAAAAAAAGAAGCCAGGTCCTTCTGCAAAGAAACACAGACGAAAACAAAGCACAATCTATGCCGTCAACACACAGACACAAAACAAACAAAACCTGCACAGTGGACTGAGGATCGGGATGGAAATGGCGCACCTGCTTGGTGTTTCTGAACCCTATACTCTCGACCGCGGCGACAAACTTAGACAAAGATTCAATGCGAGAAGTGACCTCGGCTATGATCAAATAGCCGCTGCAGACACAACACAGCAAACACGTTTCTTTCTCCTGGTATGTCGTCACATCCCAAACGGCACTACAGCCGGAGCATGCGGGGTCGAGCGCGAACTGCGGGGCCCCCTGCAGTACACTATGGTAGCTATCGCCCCTACGCGGCTGCAAGCCGGGGCTGCTGCTGCAACCGCAACACCCAGTGTTGAAGGGAAAGCCGCAGATGTTCTGCGATGAATTGAAGTTAACCCTCTTCCCAGCCGTACCTCCTCCTGAGGACTCTGCGTGCCTCCCTCAAGAAGGCCGGCCAGTCCTGACCCATCAGACTCAAACAAAACACCGCAACATCTAAACTGGCGTCAGGAAGCGGCACCTGCACTTCACATATGAACACAGAAAGCAGACAATCACGCACAGGATCCCCACACCAAACTCAGCGAACATAGCTGCGCAGCCACGCAGAAAGGCTTTCGGGCCTACGGTTTCTGGTTTAGGGCTTTTAGGGTTTAGGAACTGTCAGCAAGCATGTCTCCATTGATTCCCAAAAGATGAGAAGCCGTCCAGTTCAACAACTGAAGTCGAAGTGGACATACACTGGAAATGTCGCAAGCCGTGATCCGTTCGTTCGCCGCNAGTTCAACAACTGAAGTCGAAGTGGACATACACTGGAAATGTCGCAAGCCGTGATCCGTTCGTTCGCCGCCACCAAATCAAAAGAATGAAATTTTCTGAGAAGTGCACAACAAAAAGACGAAGTGCGAATTTAGCCCAAACGCATAAATGCTGTGGATCGAACAAAACGTCGAACAGAGCCTCAAAGTTTTCATGAAACTACAGAGAAGCCCTAGAAACAAGAGGAAGAGATATTTATTCTGTCTAAGTATATTCAAGCGTCTTGAATCACCTCTCTGGAAAACGCAAAGCGAGAGCAGCCTCTCCGCAGCCGAAGTCGCCGACTCTGCAAACGAAGCACAGTGAAGCAATACGACGAATGAGAAGAAAAGGAACAGAGCACAGAAAAAGCAAAAACATTGGGAGGGAGAAGTGCTTCTTCGGTTGCCTTTTTCAGTGTCTGTACACCACCGCCGCCACATTTGCAGACAACACAACCCCCCTTAGCCCTCACCAACTCACATCCATTCCTCCGGCCTTTTCGACAACCAAGCCGCAACGTAGTCTAAAGGATTCAACGGCCATCGACGCACTTGCGCCCTGTAGCCTGCATGGTACTGAAAGAGTCACACAGAAAACAGCAGCAGCAGCAGCAGCAGCAGCAGCAAAGCGAATAGGCTTTAGGCTCACAGCCTCCACGTTCCTATGCCGAAGAAGCACGACCGCATACGTTTCTAATTGCAACGGAGTAGTCTGTTGGTGTTCACTTATGAATGGGCTGTGTAATACGGACAATGTCAAACAACTGT